AGCTTCGCTTGGACCGCTGGAAGTCACATTTCGTCGGGCAGTGGGGAGATGCGGCCCGCATCACCTTCTGACAGGGCTTTCTAATTTTTCTTACGTATTTCCCTGCAGTATTTCCCTTAAGGCAAAACACAGAAGCTTTTAAGCCCACGTAGAATTAAAAGAACGTTTTCTGTAACACCCCCCCCCCCCTTTTTTTTTTTAAGAAGTTTCTTTTTGTTATTTCGAAAAGGACTTGGAGAAGCCTTAGTCTGGAACCAGATTGCAAATGAACGCCTTTTCTCGCTAATCCAGTTCAGATCGTGTTCTGGTTCCTTCGTCGTCGTCAAGCGTGTCCCGTGCTTGTGCCAGAGTCTGCACTGGCTCCGGGGCTCAGCTCTTGGCGAGTAACCAGCGCCAGAAACACAGAGAGCACTTCGGTTGCTGTTAGCTGGATAGTTATAAAGGGTGTTATTCAGACCAGTAAGCTATTATTTGAAATCTTTTCAGTTTTTTGAAACTGGTGCTGCTAGAGGTTGAATTCTCCACCTCACGAATTGAGGCACGAGGGGTTGATCAGAGGGCCTAGATTTTACAAAAAAAAAAATCACTCTGGTGCTAAGTTGGCTTGCTTGTAGTCATTGTGAGTCTCTAGATTGTGTTAGAGAAGCTGATTGCAGCATTTCAACTGTTAGACATGATCTAAATAACAAGCCTTTGGGAAACTGAATAAACGTAGGTGGGTTTTCGATAGGGTTTTCTAATAGTAGGTAGGAAGTAGTTTAAAATGTGTTGCTTAAGAGCCCAGAGATTCAATTCTAGATTAGTTTTACCCAAATGACTTGGAAATCTCTTGAATTTCAAACCTCAGGTGTAGCATTCTGGGTATGGATTGTGCTGTGGAGCACTAATTTAAGTGAAAATTATTGCTATGATGATGTAATTTGCGTCTTACCCAGTGTTCAGCGACAGTTGCCTGCTGTCAACATGCTGGCACTGTTGAGCTGAAGACACCTCCGTTCTGAGCAATATTTGATGGATTTGAATGCTAGCAATTAACTTTATTTGTGCTTAAGAGTTTTTGCTTTTTCCTTTTCAGGCTTGTGCTCGACCGTTGATATCCGTCTACTCCGAGAAGGGGGAAGCATCAGGCAAGAATGTCACCCTGCCTGCTGTGTTCAAGGCTCCCATTCGCCCTGACGTGGTGAACTTCGTTCACACCAACCTGCGCAAGAACAACAGGCAGCCCTACGCCGTCAGTGAGCTCGCAGGTACGGCTGGTCCCCAGCGTGGGCAGAGCTACTGGTGTCAGCCTCTGGCTTTGACATGGGTGGGCTACGGTAGAGGCAAATGAAGAATTGAAATCAGAGGAACGCTGTTCAGGGTGATACTGTGCAGAGAGCAAGGCAGCTGTTCTGGTTATTAACAGTCTGATTTTAATTGTTAGGAAATACAACTCTCTTATTCTGAAGGACAACAAGGTGTTGTAAAAGTCTTGGAGTATCACAGAATGGTTTGGGTTGGAAGGGACCTTAAAGACCATCCAGTTCCATCCCCCTGCCATGGGCAGGGACACCTTCTACTACACCAGGTTGCGCAAAGCCTCATCCAACCTGGCCTTGAACACTTCCAGGGATGGGGCAGCCACAGCTTCTCTGGGCAACCTGTTCCAGTGCCTCACCACCCTCTGAGTGAAAAATTTCTTCCTTAGATCTAATCTAAATCTCCCCTCTTTCAGTTTAAAGCCATTGCCCCGTGTCCTATCACTACACACCCTTGTCCAAAGCCGTTCTCCAGCTTTCCTGTAGCCCCTTTAAGTACTGGAAGACCGCTATAAGATCACCCTGGAGCTTTCTCTTCTCCAGGCTGAACAACCCCAACTCTCTCACTCTGGGGTCTTTATCTAAATGTGTGTCACTGAAAGTATTGTGGCACCCAGGTCCTCAAGTGGAATCTATGTTCTTTGCAAAAAGAGTACAAAAAGTCTGAAAGTGTATCAGGCAGAAAACTGTGACGAAGAACCACGCTTTATGATCCCTGCTCCACGTGAGACTTACCTGAGGCATTTTCGGAGAAGCAGCCTATGCAAATGAGCCTGTTTTTGGAGTTGCTTCGGTGGCTTGTAGGTGCATATAGCTTCTTCTCCCAAGAAATTTGTGCTAGGAACATGCATTTTCATGTTTATTTCTGATGGTGTTCCAAATGAACATTTTAACCCACTAGGCATAGCAGTGCCAATTTAGAAATTGGTATGTTCATGTACTTGATTCTGACCTAAGCAGATCTTTAGTACAGTAAGAGTTAATTCACCCGATCAGGGTTGGTTTTGCTGAAATGATGAGATTCCACTTCAATGGTCCGTGTTTCTGAAACACATGATAACAGTGGAAGTTCTGATTACGATCCTGAATTCTGCCTGTCTGTGGCATTGGGAAGTCTGTAGTGTTGTCCCTGTGTTAATTTGGATAGTAACTCAAATCTTTCTGTTTCAGGCCACCAGACCAGTGCCGAATCGTGGGGCACTGGGAGAGCTGTTGCTCGTATCCCTCGAGTACGAGGTGGTGGAACGCACCGCTCCGGCCAGGGTGCCTTTGGAAACGTATCCTTTCAGAGCTGCTGCTTGCATCGGGTGCCCTGAACCCATCAAGCAGAAATTTTAGGTATCTAAATGTGACGTGGACCTGCTCCTTGAGGAGCTGCCTACAGTGATCGGGACCCCCAGGTTTGAGAACTCCGTAATGTAATTAGAACCTGCGGTGTGCAAATTCAGTTTTAGTGAACAGCACCTTTTGGTTTTGGGTTTTTTTTTTTTTGATATCTTAAATGTCGTGCCGCACAGTGTCTTGCCATGATGTCGTAATTTGCGTCTGACTCTGTGCTCAGTGACAGTGCCTGCTGTCAGTGTACTGGTACAGATGGTTGACGAACAATTAGCACTGAGCAAGGACTGAGGAGTCAGACGAGAAAAAGCAGCTTCAGAAAGGTTGTTCTTAACTGCCCATGCCTAGATGTGTCGCGGGGGCCGCATGTTTGCCCCAACCAAGACCTGGCGGCGCTGGCACCGCAGAGTGAACACGACCCAGAAGCGTTACGCCATCTGTTCCGCCCTGGCCGCCTCTGCCCTTCCGGCACTGGTCATGTCGAAAGGTGGGAATTGTGTCTGGAAAGGTTTGCCTGCAGTACCAGTTACTATGTGATGACTTGAAATGTTTCCTGTAGATAACGAGATTCTCTGTTGAAGATTTTTTAAGAGGCAGTGTGTTCCTCGGCAGGGGAGGGTGTGTTTCTGTCAGGTACAGCACGGGAAGGTTCGTCGCCGTTATGTGGTCTCGGAGGTTGGGTGATGCTGAGGTGCTTTCCACGTGCGTGGCTGATGCTGTCCGTGCAGTTTATGGAAATGGAAATTGAGTTTTGAATCGCGTGACAGTTCAGTTTGATTTCTGTTCATGGAAGCCAAAGGTTTGCTTAATGTTTGCTCAGGTACAGAAAGTACTGTCTGAGGCAGAGCCACGAGACTCATTGAAACACCTCTGTTGTAGTTACCACGCCTGCACGTTGGATCAGGGATTTAATTTCCACTGTTGATCGTTTTGTATCATTTCGGAATACACAAGGCAGTAACCCTGAGAAACATGTACTGCGGGTAACTTTGTGTCTTGTGAAATCCTCACCAGGCCACCGCATCGAGGAGATTCCAGAAATTCCTCTGGTTGTTGAGGACAAAGTTGAGAGTTACAAGAAAACCAAGGAAGCCGTTCTCCTTCTGAAGAAGCTTAAAGCTTGGAATGACATCAAAAAGGTGAGTTGCTAAAGTGTGTTCTTAAGAGCAAAACCCTACAGTAGGAGTTCCAAATAGTTCTGTTGGGATTTGATGCCACTAGAGAGAGCCCTTGGTAACAAAACTACAAGAAACTGCAAAAAAAAAAAAGAGTTTAAGCAAAGTAAATTTAACATGTTAAAAATGTTAATATCTGCTTTTTTTTTTTTTTTTACTGTTAAGAATGATGAACTTCTCACTGGTCCGTGTTTCAGACAAGCAGTGGTGACTGTGAAGTTCTGACTGCAGCCGTTTTGTTGTGTCTCACTAATGGGGTTTGGATGATTTCAAACATTCACAAGTTCTATTTTCGGATAGGTTTATGCTTCCCAGCGTATGCGGGCTGGGAAGGGTAAAATGAGGAATCGCCGTCGCATCCAGCGCAGGGGACCCTGCATCATCTACAACGAGGACAATGGTATCATCAGAGCTTTCCGGAATATCCCAGGTAATTGTGACTTGGGGCACGCTCACCCTTCTGTTGGGAGACTGCTTGGGATGATGAGATTCCACTTCATTGGTCCGTGTTTCTGAAACACATGATTTTGTGGAAGTTCTGACTTGCTGAAGCAGCTAGTAGGTTCTCTATAAGAATCTGTTTTGGTGATGTTGAGGATTTTTATGACAAATTTTACGGCTGTCGCCAACCATGAACTGCATTTGGAGCAGTTGGAAATGAGGCTGTTGAGTTTGTCGCTGGAAAAAGGCAGATTATTTTTAAAAATGTAATAGGTTTTCCTACGGGATGTTTGTAACTTTATGGTGCGAGAGCTGATAGTGCACACCAGCAGATGGGGGCTTTTCTCAGCTGGTTATGTCTTAGTCTTGCGTTCCTTGGTTTTAATTACACATGGAAGGGGTTTGGTTTTTTTCTCTGCAGGAATTACTCTTCTCAACGTGAGCAAGCTGAACCTGCTGCGACTGGCTCCCGGCGGCCACGTTGGGCGCTTCTGCATTTGGACGGAGAGCGCCTTCCGCAAGCTGGACGATCTGTACGGCACCTGGCGCAAGGCCGCCACGCTCAAGAGTGACTACAAGTGAGCGCCGGGCACACCCGGGCGGGGTGATGATGGGCTGGGGAGGGCACCCCCTTCCGTTCTCCCGCTGGGATGTGGAAAAGGAGTAGTGTTACTTGTTCCTAAATGCCTGTTTTAATTGAATCGGCCGTGTTTTTATCATCCCGCTGACACCACGGACGTTGTTTTCACAGCCTGCCCATGCACAAGATGACCAATACAGACATCGGGAGAATCATGAGGAGCCAGGAGATCCAGAAGGCGCTGCGCGCTCCCAAGTAATGATTTTTACGGAATGAATGCAAAGTGTGGTCCCTTTAGTGATCGCCAAGTGTGAGGCTGTGTGGTGGGATCAGAGATCTCCGAGCAGCGGGATGGTGGATGGGGTTGGGGTTCCGTTAGTTTCTGGGTGTAAATACTAGGAACTGTGGTTCCCCAGATTTCAGGGAAAATCTAGCGGGACGTGAGTTCTGAAGGGAGATGGTGACGCACATCGGTTCCTTTCAGGAAGAAGATCCGCCGCCGAGTGCTGAAGAAGAACCCGCTGAAGAACCTGCGGATCATGATCAAGTTGAACCCGTACGCCAAAACGATGCGCCGCAACACCATCCTGCGCCACGCGCACAACGTGAGTGAGCGCGCAGGCTGGTGGCGGCCAGAAGTGCTTTCAGTGCTTGGGATTGCTCCCTCATGATCCAACCTTAACCATTCTGTGATTCTATGATCCCTTTTTCTTTTTCAGCATAAACTTAAGGAGGAGAAGAAAGCCAAGGCCAAGGCCAAGCTGGCGGCCGCGGTCCCGGCGGAGCCCAGAGCAGAGACCACAACCAAGGCTGCCAAGGTGGCCACCAAGGCCAAGGTCAAGGCTGAAGCATAAACACTGTGCAGTTCTTCATCCGCTTCGGTTCGGGAAACAGCCGTGCGTCTCTAATAAATTCCATTGGAACAGAGGAATGCTGTCAGGGTTTTCTTAGAAAAAAAAAAAAAAAGTCATGTTTTTGAGCAGGATTTCAAAGGGCAACTCCTTAAAGAAGGGTAAAATGGCGGGATGGGCTTTGCCATGTTGGAGCTGAGAGTCGCTTTTTCCTGATTTAACACGGCTCCTCCTGGGGCCGTGACGTCACGCGGCCACGCGGGGGCAGCTGCTGCCCGGAAATGTGCTCATAGCGCTGTGACGTCAGGCCGCCCGCGGGCGGCTCCTCCGGCGCGCCAGGGGGCGC